AAATGACCCTTTCTTTCTAAACGTTGGTTTTGATTGACTTTTTCTTTTCGGCAGGTCTTTCCTGTAGACTAATGTTTGTTTTTGATATTGAAGGTCCGTATTTTCGTGGTCTAAATCAGTGATGCTCGATGTCGCCGCAATCGGTTTTATTAATGAAAGTTCTACGTGGTGTCCAGAAGTAATTTCCAACTTCCTCACTGATTCTTGGCTCGCTGACTCCAGTTTGCTGGCCCGCTTTTGTTCGGTAACTGTAGCCTGCAATGACCGATGAATTTCGTTACTTGACTCATGAAGACTGGAAACACCAGCTGAATGCTGATCCCATTGAAATATAAATTTGTGTGTGTAAATATTTCAGGCGAACATTTTTCATCGCTGTTCATGTCTCATCGTACGGCGTCAAGCGTCCTAGGATTCGTATATTTGCAGACAGCCTTTAAACAATGAGTCTGTTAGGTCTCAGAAGGTACTTAGTTCTGGTGACCTTCCGTATGAATCGACTATTGATTGACTGACAGTGGTTTTCGTCGACAGATCTTTTTCGCAAGATTAATAAACACCCGTTGTTACTCTCTGGCATATTTGTTCATACATAAATGTATCTAAAATTTCCTGTTGTATTTTGTTCAAGGCGCACTGTATGATAAATCATCCGTGATAGAAAAGAACCTTTCATCAAATTATTCGGAAAGGTTTAGTTTAGTATAGCTATGTTTCAAACAGCAGAATTACAATTAGATTCAATTCTAAAATCCCAGTTACCCCACGCAACTATACAATACAGCGCATCCACCTGTTGTGGTCATCCACTACCAATCCGTCAGTGCAACACTCCTCACCAAAAGCACCATTTCCAGAAAGTACTCTTGGCTTGTTACAACAAACCCGACGGCAACCGTCTGGTCAAAAATGTGAGAGCTGCTACTATTCTGGCTCTGGGGATGATGCTCCAGTGTGTTACTGTCCCTAAAAGAACACGTGCCACTTGAAATATTTTGTTCCCCAGTGTGGCGGCCACCAAGAATTGTGCATACATGAGCATCTTTCAAAGTTCTACTATGGAAATGAACCATACAGCCATAAACACCAAAGAAATATTTCTCAAAGTACAGTTATGATTCTCAGTATAAGGAATACATTCACAAAACGTCTGCGTACGAGCCTCAGTACAAGCACGATATTCAGGATTCTAAACAACAACCGGAGTAAATGGATTTTACCGCTTGACCTTTATCAACATAAACCATTTCCTCATCCGTTCGATTACTCTTATCACATCCGTGCGCATTAAGCAGAGTATCATTTTGTTCGAGTACTCAATTTGTTATATTGAAAATCCAATAAATTTGTATTTCTGCCATAGTTTAGATATGCCGTAATAAACGTCTGAGCCAAATTATTCGTTTATGATCCAGCTTCGAGATCTGCAGTTTATTTTGGTTTGAAGCGGGTGCAGCCTAAGGAAGTTTTAGTACAAAAGCCGGAAATTTTCACTGTGGCGAATTTCACCTGCTGATTTTCAAGGAGGGACAATGCCAGACCATTAGTACAGCAAATCTATTTGGTGCTATGATTGCTTGTCTTATATGTATAAAAGATATTCTTTTAAAGTAGAAGATAAGTGTGTTATGCTGCATCAGATTTACTCCACATATTTTTCAACTGGAAAGTTAGAAAAGCGCTCTGTACTCTGCTCGATTTGCCCTCAGGCAGTGACATGGAACAAAGCTGTTTTCTTCGAGCATGATCTGAAACGTTGGAGAACATATGCGCAGTAAATTTGACATTCGGTTTTATCCCATAAATGGCATCAGTGGCACAGTGGCAAAGAGATCATCTTCGAATATCGAAGGTGCCTGGTTCGAAGCCGTCGAAAGATACAGTATTTTTAATTTGTGAATTACCTTGAGCAAAGAGTTTTCCCTGAGTCGTTTCGGTGCAGTCGGCCGAGGAAAGGGGTGTAAGTCTGTTGAACCGCGAGCAGTCGGGACAGAACTGTATTCCAGTATGGTAACACCGGGGTGGGTGGCATGTTTCGCCGTGCCATCTGATATGAGCGCCCCATGTGACTGCACTTCGCTTTGACCCACCTGCTAGCTGACTGTCCTGGGCAATAATCACCACAAGATATAATTCCCAAAAATGCATCCGTATAATTTTGAATGTTAATGTTTTTGGCATCGGCAATGACGTTTCTCAACAAATCAGTCCACTGTTTGTCGACATTTGCTAGCTCTGTGTGTTTCGAACTGAAAACAGAAAACTAATCTGTGAAGCGAAACTAGCATAAATAAAATGTTTAGGCATTCGGATGCCGCCGCAGTAAACACCGCCGGTCCCGCGGGAAGATATATCGATGAAGCACTAACGATTGACGATTTTTCATCTTCTGTCGTCTCTTGTCGTCGCATTTCGACGAACGGAGAAGCTGTGAGAAAGACGATGCTCGGAAAGCAAACAGGAAAACGTACTCCTTTTATCACCTTTGACAGGAAGCGAGGAAAACGGCGGCCGAGGAATGAGTTTCGAAGATGTTCTGTGGTATGCGCGCCAGAAATCGATCGCGATCGTGAGTTCGCCGCATTCGTTGACCAGAACTGACGATAGACAAGAGTTTCTCAGTGGCTGGACGCTTTGGTGGACAGCGAATCGGCTGACCCCGTCAATGGCGACCACCTGTGGATACCTCTGTGCAGCTGGAGTCTGACGAGGAGCTGTCAGCGTCGAACCGACCGGAAGCCGGTGATGGAAATGGCTGCGTTGGCGCCCGGTCTGCGGAAAGGTGAGTTCAAGGTTGAGCCATCAACATGCGAGCGCCTGTCTCGTCGGATTTCGATCGTCATTGAGGGAGGCTGACGACAAGGGCGCAAGTGTTCGTCTGTCCGTTAATAAATTTGGCATTTTGTCAGGATAAATGTTCGCAGCGCAGCCGGCCGGCCGAACGGACGGACGGACGGACGGACAGAAATTTCAGTCCAATCAATCGCCTCCGGTTTTTGCCATTGGAACGGAATTTCTAACTCGCTTTCAGGTACGTCGTCGACGGAAAATGACACACTCCAAGCGACACTTTCCTTGGTTCACACCAACGTGACTTCCGAGGTTTT